ACTAGGGTGGCTTGAGTCTTTGACAATTATTAGGGCCTTCCTCTGACACTGCCTAGTATATAGGTCCTGGATGGCAGGAAGCTTGACCCCAGGGATGTACTGGGCCGTACGCACTACCCTCTGTAGTGCCTTGCGGTCGGAGGCCGAGCAGTTGCCATACCAGGCGGTGATGCAACCAGTCAGGATGCTCTCGATGGTGCAGCTGTAGAACTTTTTGAGGATCTGAGGACCCATGCCAAATATTTTCAGTCTCCTGAGGGGGAATAGGTTTTGTCGTGCCCTCTTCATGACTGTCTTGGTGTGTTTGGACCATGATAGTTCGTTGGTGATGTGGACACCAAGGAACTTGAAGCTCTCAACCTGTTCCACTACAGCCCTGTCGATGAGAATGGGGGCAGGCTCAGTCCTCTTTTTTTCCCTGTAGTCCACAATCATCTCCTTTGTCTTGATCACGTTGAGGGAGAGGTTGTTATCCTGGCACCACATGGCCAGGTCTCTGACCTCCTCCCTATAGGCTGTCTCATCGTTGTCGGTGATCAGGCCTACCACTGTTGTGTCATCTGCAAACTTAATGATGGTGTTGGAGTCGTGCCTGGCCATGCAGTCATGGGTGAACAGGGAGTACAGGGGGGGACTGAGCATGCACCCCTGAGGGGCCCCTGTGTTGAGGATCAGCGTGGCAGACGTGTTGTTACCTACCCTTACCACCTGGGGGTGGCCCGTCAGGAAGTCCAGAATCCAGTTGCAGAGGGAGGTGTTTAGTCCCAGGATCCTTAGCTTAGTGATGAGCTTTGAGGGCACTATGGTGTTCAATGCTGAGCTGTAGTCAATGAATAGCATTCTCACGTAGGTGTTCCTCTTGTCCAGGTGGGAAAGGGCAGTGTGGAGTGCAATAGAGATTGCATCATCTGTGGATCTGTTGGGGCGGTATGCAAATTGGAGTGGGTCTAGGGTTTCTGGGATAATGGTGTTGATGTGAGCCATGACCAGCCTTTCAAAGCACTTCATGGCTACAGACGTGGGTGCCAAGGGTCGGTAGTCATTTAGGCAGGTTATCTTAGTGTCCTTGGGCACAGAGACTATGGTGGTCTGCTTGAAACATGTTGGTATTACAGACTCAGTCAGGGACATGTTGAAAATGTCAGTGAAGACATTTGCCAGTTGGTCAGCACATGCTCGGAGTACACATCCTGGTAATCCGTCTGGCCTGCAGCCTTGTGAATGTTGACCTGCTTAAAAGTCTTACTCACATCGGCTACGGAGAGCGTGATCACATAGTCATCTGGAACAGCTGATGCTCTCATGCATGCTTCAGTGTTGCTTGCCTCGAAGCGAGCATAGAGATGATTTAGCTCGTCTGGTAGGCTTGTGTCACTGGGCAGTTCGCGGCTGTGCTTCCCTTTGTGGTCTGTAATAGTTTTCAAGCCCTGCCACATCCGACGAGCGTCAGAGCCGGTGTAGTACGATTCAATCTTAGTGCTGCATTGACTCTTTGCCTGTTTGATGGTTCGAACGGCGGGCATAGCAGGATTTCTTATAAGCTTCCGGGTTAGAGTCCCGCTCCTTGAAAGCGGCAGCTCTACCCTTTAGCTCAGTGCGGATGTTGCCTGTAATCCATGGCTTCTGGTTGGGGTATGTACGTATGGTCACTGTGGGGACGACGTCAATCGATGCACTTATTGATGAAGCCAGTGACTGATGTGGTGTACTCCTCAATGCTATCTGAAGAATCCCGGAACATGTTCCAGTCTGTGCTAGCAAAACAATCCTGTAGCTTTGCATCTGCGTCATCTGACCACTTTTTTAGTAACCGAGTCACTGGTGCTTCCTGCTTTAGTTTTTGCTTATAAGCAGGAATCAGGAGGATAGAGTTATGGTCAGATTTGCTAAATGGAGGGCGAGGGAGAGATTTGTATGCGTCTCTGTATGTGGAGTAAAGGTGGTCTAGAGTTTTTTTTCCTCTGGTTACACATTTAACATGCTGATAGAAATTAGGTAGAATGGATTTAAGTTTCCCTGCATTAAAGTCCCCGGCCACTAGGAGCGCTGCCTCTGGACGAGCGTTTTCCTGTCTGCTTATGGCCTTATACAGCTCATTGAGTGCAATCTTAGTACCAGCATCGGTTTGTGGTGGTAGATGGACAGCTACAAAAAATATAGACTAAAACTCTCTTGGTAAATAGTGTGGTCTACAGCTTATCATAAGATATTCTACCTCAGGCGAGCAAAACCTCGAGACTTCCTTAGTATTAGATTTTATGCATCAGCTGTTGTTTACAAATATACACAGACCGCCACCCCTTGTCTTACCGGAAGTCAGCCGTTCTATCCTGCCAATGTAGCGTAAAGCCCGCTAGCTGTATGTTATCCATGTCATCGTTCAGCCACGACTCGGTGAAACATAAGATATTACAGTTTTTAATGTCCCGTTGGTAGGATAGCCGTAATCTTAGGTCGTCCCATTTATTCTCAAATGATTGAACATTGGCTAATAGTGTGGTCCTCTGTAGCTCAATTGGTAGAGCATGGCGCTTGTAATGCCAGGGTAGTGGGTTCGATCCCCGGGACCACCCATACCTAAAAATGTATGCACGCATGACTGTAAGTCACTTTGGATAAAAGCGTCTGCTAAATGGCATATTATTATTATAATAGGATTGATGGAAGAGGCAGTTTACTCGCTCGCCGTCGGATCCTTACAAGGCACCCCGACCTACGTCCACGATATCTCTGTCTCTTTCTCATGCGAATGACGGGGATTTGGGTCCTTGTCGGGTGTCTGTAGAATATCCTTCGCGTCCGACCCGTTGAAGAAAAAATATTTGTCCGATACGAAAAACACACATAATAGTACAATTGGTTAGTGAGCTGTAAAACGACAACCATCTTCTCCGGCGACATCCTTATGACTTTCTGGTATTTGTGTGTACACATACCCTTAAATGCATTTTACCTTTTGAGGTTACGTCATTAATCAATTCCATGTGAACCCAGACTTTGAGGTTATCAACATTAGACCATCAGACAATATCCACTTTAACATGTCACCCTTTTTCTCCTCATTTACATCTACCACCTAGACTCTCAACCAGGCTACAGCTACAAGTCCAGACACACCACCCACTATTTACAAAGGGGTCTAGAGAGGGCCTGTCTTGTCTTAAGGTAACAGCGAATCAACAACGTTTATGCAGATTTAACCCAGGCAAAGGCTTCTGGGGGCGATCTACTGTATCCTGTGAGTGAAAAGGCCGTTCAAAAAAGTACCCCAACCCCCCCTACACCAATTACTGTCTAACTTTCCCCCCACATCTGTTGGGATAAGTGGACTATTCACTTGTTGGTTAATAGAGACCTATGTAGGATTCAGACTTGTCAATTGATCACTGGCAGGACTGAGTTCCTAACATAAGCGTCACTAACCACAATGTGATGGAATGTACATGTAATGATATGTCTCTGAACAACAGACAGTTTCCATCACCAATGTAACTTCCTGGAAACTGTTGTCTGCAGCATCAGTGGATATAGTTATGTTAATGTGTGCAAAAGATCTTCAATAATCTTACAAATATAATCTAATAATATTTGGTGTTACGTACTGTATGTTAATGTGTAAAATAATCTTCTTCTAAGTACAAATACCATTCTATAATAATCAGTCCCTAATCACAGATCTGATATCATAAGTCATGACTCCTGGGTCAGGTTCTACCCGACATTACATCATATGACATAAACAGACATCAGTCACAGACAACACCCACACAAACCTAATTCACTCTAATTTATAGTCTTAGTTAACATAACTAAAGCCCATAACCACAGGAGAACACACACTTACCTAATTACCAACCCCACAAATCAGTCCCCCACAAACCGGATGTTAACAACCATGGGTAAAATCACCATGGGTGAAACCCCCCCCACCCCCTATAAATCACAAGATGTGACGTACAGTTTGACTGAAGCCACCCTACATCAACTACTCTTTAGTATATATATTTTTTTTTTCAGTTTACTGTTATTTTTTCTTTGTTTTTATTCCATTCTTTTATTTTTGTAATTTTTTATAATTTTTTTCGGGGGGAATGGATCAGCTTAATATTGCAGATAGATTGTATCTTCTATCAATGTAATTGTCTGCATCACTTCCAATCCCCCATGACTTTTTTTATTTTTATTTTTTTATATAAATACTCCCCTTTATTACTTTTCAACCCCACCATCCTTTCCCTACTTGGAGTAAATTAGTGAACAACAATGCCCAGGCCTCTACTTCCGGTCTATACTTACTATCTACACCTTATGGACAGAGTTAATTTTACAATAATTATATTACATATATATATATATATATATATTTTTTTTGTTGTTCCTGAACTTCTTCTACTCTCAACCTCTCCGATCATTTTCACGATGTCCATCCAGTTTGCTTCTATATGCCATATCTTTCTAACTGTGCTCTTTCCCAAAAGCTCCCAACATACAACCTATATACTTATTATGGACACAGTATGCTTACATTATTAGCTATCTTTGTTATTATTTGTTGTTATTTGTTATTAGTCCCATCCTTCAACTCTATTCAATACCTCCCATCTATCTCTTAACACCATCCATATAGTATACTCTTTAGTATTACACAGGAGGTTGGTTGCACCTTAATTGGGGAGGATGGTCTCATGGTAGTAGGTGGAGTGGTATCAAATCCATCAGACACATGGTTAACATGTTTGATGCCATTCCATTTTCTCCGTTCCAGACATTATTATGAGCAGTTCTCCCCTCAGCATCCTCCACTGTTTTAGTATTGTTTTCTTTGGTAACTATGGTATACAGTATTAACAGGGAGGAAATGAAACAAGATATCACAAATCTTCCATGCTACACAATGGTTCTGAATATTGTTGTGGATTCTGCTTGGAAACGATCTGTGGACTTTCTCAAACACACCTGGCTATTTAAACCCCCAGCAGAGACAAGCCAACTGTATTGCAGCAAGAGAAAAATCGGCAGCTCACATTATCAGTCATGAAGACCATTCTTGTGTTTCTGATGCCCATTTTGTTTGGGAACGTTGCAGGTATGGAAGTTGAAATGAATTATCTATCGTCATGGTAACATTACTTAAATCAAATGTGTATTGTGACTTTCACTGTAATCTAATTAGTGGATTTCTGTGTAGTTTGAATTGTATGTTCTGTCATTAATATCTAAAGGATTTCTGTGTAGTTTGAATTGTATGTTCTGTCATTAATATCTAAAGGATTTATGTGTAGTTTGAATGGTATGTTCTGTCATTAATATCTAAAGGATTTCTGTGTAGTTTGAATGGTATGTTCTGTCATTAATATCTAAAGGATTTCTGTGTGGTTTGAATTGTATGTTCTGTCATTAATATCTAAAGGATTTCTGTGTGGTTTGAATTGTATGTTCTGTCATTAATATCTAAAGGATTTCTGTGTAGTTTGAATTGTATGTTCTGTCATTAATATCTAAAGGATTTCAGTGTAGTTTGAGTTGTATGTTCTGTCATTAATATCTAAAGGATTTCTGTGTAGTTTGAATTGTACGTTCTGTCATTAATATCTAAAGGATTTCAGTGTAGTTTGAATTGTACGTTCTGTCATTAATATCTAAAGGATTTCTGTGTAGTTTGAATTGTATGTTCTGTCATTAATATCTAAAGGATTTCTGTGTAGTTTGAATTGTATGTTCTGTCATTAATATCTAAAGGATTTCGGTGTAGTTTGAATTGTACGTTCTGTCATTAATATCTAAAGGATTTCAGTGATGTTTTACACGTATATGTTTCATTATGGTGTTTCAGTGGAGGCACTGCGGTGTTATGCCTGTGTGAGCGTAAACAGCATTGCTCAGTGCAACCAGAACACGGTGAACTGCGCTCTCTTGGATGACACCTGCATGACCACCGTCTCCCAAATGTGTAAGAGCACAGATACTTTGTAAATGAATAGATACATCAATACATCTCTTTGTAGGTAGGGTTTTGCGCAGGGGTACCAGTCATTTTGCCTATGTAGGTTAGTGAAAACTGAAATAAATATTGTCAATAATTCTGTCATGTCAGTATATAGAATCAATTATCACTGACTGCCTCTCTTATCAATTATAGACTCAATCAATCAATCTGCCAGCCCTTTAACCTGTTCATCTATCTTTCACCTGTCTGTCACCAGTGGGAGTCCAGTCCATTTCTAAGACCTGCACCACCAGCTCGGCTGTGCACAGCAGCCACCTCCACCAACCTCAACCTAGGAGGGTTAGGGGGGAACCAGGTCACCTGCTGTCAGACTGACCTCTGTAACGTCAACGGTTCATCAGTCTCTGGACTCAACTTCCTGTTGCTCAGCTTGTCTTTTCTCATATCTGGCCTGGTTCTGTCTCTGTGAATCAAGTTTTTGAAATTAATGAATGAACAACTGAAGTTAATATGTGGGTTCATCTTTGCTGTTTTTTCTTTATTTATTGTTGCTGATCCTCAGAGTCTATGTTGGACAGGAAATAAATAAAAAGTTGTCCTATCTGTGCTGGTTCTGTCTCTGTGAATCAAGTTTTCGAAATGAATGAATATGAGCAACTGAAATAAATATGAGTGTTAATCACTGCTGTTTTTTTTGTTTTTTTTGTTTAAACTCTTTGGCTGTCATTTTGGATGCTGAAGAAATGCAGTAGGCCTAGTATCTTTGTCAAAAGGCAAGACTGAAATGTGTACAAATATGTTCTGGCATGAACATAAGATGCAATAATTGTATCATAAAAACACACCCTATTATTAGTTATGAATCAACACTTGGCAAAAGTTTGACATATGTCTCCTTCCACCCGTTTTTAAAGTAGTGATGACGATGGCCTTGTAACTAAGCACTGAGACACAAACACAGGTGATGATATTGGAGTTTTACCCTGCTTGGTGTCGGTTGATATCACATACCTGTGTATAGGTATGATAGAAAAAAGGATGACAGGCAGACAACAGGACTTCCTGTTCACTGTAAGGGTTAAGGGCTCCATTTAATCAAACCTGCATTGCAGTATTTAGGCAGTAGCTCTTTTTCCCATGGTCAAATTAACTCAAAGACAGGTGTTGGGTACTGTATAAAAAATCGTACTACCAGGGCGACCCATAAGACAAGGTATATGTTCACTTTTCAGAATTAGATGTGTGTGGGCACAGAATGAATATTGTAAATAAAGACACTGTGCAGGCCTAAACTTTGCTATCAATGGCCGAGTTTGTTTTGCATGGCCCGGTGTCCCGGGTGAGCGGAGTTTGCTCATTTTAGACCCTTCCATTGGTCCTTAAGTGGAAGATCCACCCACTTGGGGCACCCTGGCCATGCAAATTAAACTTGTCACAAAGCCACACCCACCCCACTTGCGTTAGAAGTTCAGAGCGAGAAAGCATAGGCTATATAGAAATAATTACCCTCAAATTTAAAAAATCATTCAATTAAATAAGGATTTCTATCATCTTAATGGAGGTGTAGATTACATCTCACATTCCAGTGTTCAAACATGTAAACAAGGTTGCATGGGATTTCTGTTAGGGCTCTATTCAATCCGCATCGTGGAAGTTCAGTTTTACAGCATGACTTTAAATTTAAAGGCAATGTTCCTGCTTTAGCAGAGACTGTATTCACGGTCAACGCTGAATATCGGCTCAATCGGTAAATCACCTTGAAATTTCTATTTGCGGAATCTGTAACCCTTCAGCATTAAAGGTTGAATAGAGCCCATATATATCATGTGACTCCGAGCAGCCAATGGCAATGTCCACTTTAGGTAGAATGCCTGGAGCCACTTGTGGATTTTACAGCTTTATCGCAGTTCCACCTCTGACACCACCAAAACAACCGCTATGGGAATGTCAGCTAAACTGAATAGAGGCCTTAGTGGCTTTATGAATTATAAGGCTACAGAGTGTTATAGTTACAAATCGCAACGAGCAAATACAAAACATAATCGCTGCAGTGCTTGAAAATATAAGAAAAAGGCAATATTTGACCTGAATCACAAACACTTGTATCTCTGCTATTTTCTTGTTTATTGAACTATTCTGAGACTGTTCTGAACCAGTTCTCATGTAGAATAACTGCCTGGTTGCTGAACCAGAACATTGTATTACATTTACATTCTAGTCATTTAGCAGAAGCACCAGAGCGACTTACAGTTAGTGAGTGCATTGAATTTCGCCAGTTATCAGTTGCCGCCTTCATCTGCCTTTCCAGACGTTTGGGAGATGGGACTCCTGTATCCGCCTGGTCAGCAGTTGAGGACTTGTGGGTTTTGTAATTGGAGTTGTCCATCTCATAGACTGGCTGCCTGCCAGGGTTTGAGAGCCCAGTCTACCCTAAACTTTTCCATAACCCTGGGTGAGGGCTGTCAACCGGGTGCTGTCAACCGGAGCCAGCTGAGCCCGAAGACTCACGTGAGGCAGAGGCGTCACTCCCTGAGGTTGCATGCAAGGCAGAGCAACGCTATCCGCTGGTAATGGGGCTCCTGCCATTGTTCAGTGACACCTATAATAAGATGAATCTCTGCATCACACCATACTTGTCACATTATGAAGAGCAACTATCTTCAGGCTGATACTCTGAGGACAAAGGGAAGGGGTGTCTCTTCATATTTCATACGGGTGGATTTTTCTTTAGAGCGTTGTTCCTCCAGTGTCCTAAAGTGTCAGAAATGCTGCCACCAACAGAACCATGAAAACCACCAGTGTCCTCCTCCTTTTGAGCCTCCTCTGCTTTTCCTCAAATAAAGTGCTATTCAAATGTATTCAACTGTTATTTCCAATCCATGACTTGGTGATGATCTCTGGATATTTACAGTAGATTTCCGTTCTGATCTTTTAATCTTGGAGCTGTTATTTTTGCTTTATTTGGGGTTACTTAGTTCTATAGTTTTTAGGTCATTTAATATAATTTAATATCTCATAAATAGACTACTACAACAAATGCACTCCTTTATAGGCATGGATGGAGTGTCACTTCCATTTGCTAGCTTTTTCATGTCATCGTTCTCATACCAAAACCGAGTTGACAGACCAACTGCTCAGCATTCCATTGGACTGTTGAATGTTTATGTTATAGCTGAAACAAAAACAACATTCACTACCTGTCACCTGTTACGTACGGAATATTCTGGAATAATTTTGGTCATTCATGTCTTTGTCATTTGTCACTTTCATACATTTTGGAGAAAGATTAAGTTGTTGTTCATATTTAAAATAGATGCTCTGAAGTGCTGTGTGCAGCTCTACCATAACCAATGACAAATGCAACCAGTCCTCCCAAACCTGCCGGGGAGCTCTTGATACCTGCATGACCACTGTGGGCACATCTGGTGAGAGCGCTTGGAAACCTTAGTGATACCAGTTACAGTAACTAACAGGAGTAGAAATGTATTGAAAGGGGACTTGATAGGTGAATTAATTAATTAAAAAGTGGAGCGTTTAGCTTGTTTATTTGTATGGTAGTCTATTCCAGCCGAAACAACAATTCCTGGTGAACAGATTTGAGAATTGAACCAATAATAAAGATGCATTATTTCCCTTTTCCATCCACAGGCAATATAAAGGCCATTCTGAAGCTTTGCGTTAGTGCAAGGACCTGCGACGCAGTAGCGTCAGGGGGCTCAGTGGCAATGGGACCCAAGTCACCTGCTGCTCCAGTAACTTGTGTAATGTCACCGGGGCGACGGGTGCTGGACCCACTAGTGACTCTGGCCGTTGGAGCCATGCTGTGCTCAGCACTCTCAAGCTGCTCTGAGAATGAATGGATGAGAATGGATGAGCTCATGACATTGGGGACTCCAGACAGCCTCCAGCACAACAGGCAACAATAACGTAATATTTACAGTATATTATATTTACCAAACGAATACAGTGCTCATATATATTGTTATATACAGTATTGTTAATATTGTATATATAAATGTTTCTTTGAATACTGTGAAAATGTTGTGGAGTAATAGAATCTATTTCTTGTATTTATATGGCGGAATACAACCTTACTGTGAAATGCTTAGTTACAAGCCGTTAAGCAACAATGCAGAATTGTTTCAAAAGTAAGTAGGAAAATATTTGCTACAAAAATAAATAAACAATAAAATAAACTAAAGTAAGGAAATAAGTTACACAATAAAATAACAATAACGAGGCTATATACAGGTGAATGGGTTTGATCATATATGAATAGTAAAACAAAGATGAATCTGTGGTAATTTAGTAATACAAAAAAAAGATTTGTTCATTCTACAAGTCATCCAAATAAGGTTGTCGGTAGTCATTTGCATTGACTCCTCCCACAGAAGTGACGTTGATTGGTATATACGGCCATGTCCCGCCCTTTCTCACTCTCTTTCCGCTAAAATCTAAGTTGGAAGTAGACGTGCCTAAGGTGTTTGGTTCTTCTCTTGAAGCTAAGGCCCAGAATCCGGCGACTAGCACCACTAAATTTAGGCATCCGACCCCCAAACTATAAAACCTACATAGGAAGATGGCATCTGTATCTGAACTCGCTTGTATTTACTCTGCCCTCATCCTCCACGACGATGAAGTCACCGTTACAGTAAGTCCCGCTTAAAATGGCGCCTTGGCCGGCCTCTTGTGTAGCTAACCAGCCTTACTTGGAACACAGGTTATTGTCTACTTCTGGGGTAGTGTGTAACTGAGTCTGAGTAAATATTAAGTGATTGTAGTAACGCAAACTATGTTATCGCCATAACTGTCCAAAATGACAGCTTACAAGCCGTCAATGTCACTAGCTAACTAGTTAGCGCCACAGACGCCATGTGTGTCTTCTAGTCTGTATCTAACAATGTGCTGTTGCTGTAAGCATTGCTACGATAGCCTGTTAGTTAACCCTGGTGCCATAGTCAGATATATGACAAATTACTAGCCAACGTTAACTATTTCAAACATTCTGCCTACAACATTACCGTTATAACTTGGCTAGCTAGCCTAGTAAGCTAACGCCGGTGAATCACATGTGAATGCGATCAAAGCAGCCAACGTTGGCTAGCAAGTTGGCTTGCTCAGACACTGAACGTTTCCCACCATTTTTGGCATTGGCCAACTAGTTACTAACCCGATCCAAGGCTAACCAACAACATTCAAATACTGTTAGTAGTTTTGTCTTCATGCTTCTACAGTAGAGGTCTGTAATGTGTAATCTATTCATTTGCAGGAGGACAAGTTGATGGCTCTCATCAAGGCTGCCAATGTGACTATTGAGCCTTTCTGGCCCAGTCTGTTCTCCAAGGTGAGTCTGAAGCCCTTTTCTCCATCACCCTACACACATGCAGGATTACGTGCAGGGGTGAATTGAGAAATACTCTGTGTAGATTCCGACATATCTATGGTGTAAAGCCTTCCATCTCTACCATTTTTTACTATTTTGTGTGAACCTTGTCTAATGATGGTGACGGCACTTAGTTGCTCTCTGTAAACCATGATACTCTGACATGTGGTAGTAATTGATGTGTAAAGGCTGCATCATGCCTGACCCTATCCTGTTTCCTGTGTGTGTTACAGGCCCTGGCCAGCGTGGACATTGGCAGCCTGATCTGCAACGTGGGTGCAGGTGGGGGAGCTGCCCCTGCTGCTGCTGGAGGCGCCGCCCCTGCGGCCGACGTACCAGGTAACTAAAGGACAGCAGGGTTTCACCCCCTTTACCAAGGCCATGTGGCTACAGTCCTAGAGGGCCACTGTGTTGTTCACTGGGCCAGGGTTTCACCTGCAGGGCCACCGTAACATGGTTTCCATGTGAGCCAGTGCTTACTGTCAGTGATTTAAAATCTTACTTCCTGTAACACCCCACAATGAAGATTCAGACCTCGGTTTCAAACATCTCTGGCGTTAGCCAGCACCGGCTAGCCTGGAGATGGTAGGGTGTGCCAACATGGCCATATTCGTATCCGGAAATTGACAGTTGGATCGGATGATGATACTCATGATCGGAAAAAAGTGTTTTAATATGCCTAAATAGATGTTGACTGAATACCTCCCTGCATGTTCTCACTGCAAAAAAAACTGCAGATTAGGAGCAGCGCGAGGAGGGATGGGTGTGTCTGTGTCCTCAACTTGCAGCGGGCATCCCAAGTTTGCTGTCATTCAGTCAGAATGCGCATTAGCGTTTAGTATTTTTCCCTACCCATGCCCCACTTTTTAGATATTATGCACATTGATAGCAAATGTCCTCGCCATGTGATTTATCATAGTAGCAGGCAGCAGCAATCGAAATTATCAGACTGAAAACATGCGAGAAAGTGATCGGGTGAAATTATGAAGCGAGTGGACGAAGAAATACAGCTTCTCAAGGGGGCGGCAGGTAGCCTGGTGGGTAGGAGCGTTGGTCCAGTAACCGAAAGGTTGCTGGATCGAATCCCTGAGCTGACACGGTCAAAATCTGTCTTTCTGCCCCTGAGCAAGGCAAACCCACTGTTCCCCAGGCGCCGAAGACGTGGATGTCGATTTAAGGCAGCCCCCCGCACCTCTCTGATTCAGAGGGGTTGGGTTAAATGCAGAAGACACATTTCAGTTGAATGCATTCAGTTGTACAACTGACTAGATATCTCCCTTTCCCTTCTCTATCCAATCCGAGTAGCAGGATCAACGTACAGCCCGCCCTTCTCTTTACAGACAGGAAAACTAGCCAGTTTAGTTATTTAGACCAAAGTATGGCTTAGAAAATCTGAATGACATGAGAAAAAACGGATCATAATCATATCCAGAAAATTGCACATCCATTACGATACTAGTTTTAGTCCTGATTACTCTGCACACCACTAGTAGCATGGTGTCCACTGCTGCGCTGATGGTGTGTATCAGGGCCAGGGTTGACAAACTTCATAAACTCAGTGTCTGGTGTTTATCCCTTGCTCTTTGAGCCAGTTTGTCACTAATGGGTTAGTTTTCACCTAATTTCTTTGCCTAATTGGTGATTTTAAAACAACTTGGAAATCCGGGAAAAAAAACCTAGGTGAAATCATGTCAGTGATCTTCAGGTTGGAAAGTCGGAGCTCTAGAAAGATGCCAGAATTTCCGGCTTGGAATTCAGAGTTGGATGACCGTTCAAAACGATTTTACCCCAGTCGGAGCTCGTTTTGAGTTCCCAGTTGTCTTGAACGCTCGGAAGTCGGGAGAGTTCCCAGTTTTGAATGCGGCATGAATCAGACTTTTTATTGTAAAAGTTGTCAGTGGTCATTTGTGAATGTAATTATTGTTCTAATTTCCAGCTGTAAGGATATCTATTTCACTGTACATGTACTGATGCCATACCTCATGTACTGGTGCCATACCTCATGTACTGGTGCCATACCTCATGTACTGGTGCCATACCTCATGTACTGATGCCATACCTCTTGTACTGATGCCATACCTCATGTACTGGTGCCATACCTCATGTACTGGTGCCATACCTCATGTACTGATGCCATACCTCTTGTTTTCCTGCATTACAGTCAAGGAGGAGAAGAAAGAGGAGAAGAAGGAAGAGTCTGAGGAGGGTTCCGATGACGACATGGGCTTCGGTCTTTTCGACTAAACCAGTTTTTGTAACTAATAAAAATCTGAGAAACTGAAATGGCAATATGTGGTTTCATTTGAACACCTTGGGTACAAGTGCACAAATGCATTATGGGATAAAGACATTGGATTAAATGTGATCACCTGTAAACAATGTATCTCCAATAGGTGGAATAGTTTACCCTGAAGTAGATCATGAATATGGGATGGAGGTTTTTCTAATCAGTTAATTCCTGCTATTCTGACTTCCTATTTGTCATTGAAATAGGCTCAAACCTTTTTGTACGGTCTCGTCTGAGATGGCAAAGGTGAGATTTTGACCTACACTGCTCAAAAAAATAAAGGGAACATTTAAACAACACAATGTAACTCCCAAGTCAATCACACTTCTGTGAAATCAAACTGTCCACTTAGGAAGCAACACAGATTGACAATAAATGTCACATGCTGTTGTGCAAATGGAATAGACAACAGGTGGAAATTTATAGGTGTTTTGCAGGTGGTGACCACAGACCAATTCTCAGTTCCTATGCTTCCTGGCTGATGTTTTGGTCACTTTTGAATGCTGGCGGTGCTTTCACTCTAGTGGTAGCATGAGACGGAGTCTACAACCCACACAAGTGGCTCAGGTAGTGCAAGCTCATCCAGGATGGCACATCAATGCGAGCTGTGGCAAGAAGGTTTGCTGTGTCTGTCAGCGTAGTGTCCAGAGCATGGAGGCGCTACCAGGAGACAGGCCAGTACATCAGGAGACGTGGAGGAGGCCGTAGGAGGGCAACAACCCAGCAGCAGGACCGCTACCTCCACCTTTGTGCAAGGAGGAGCACTGCCAGAGCCCTGCAAAATGACCTCCAGCAGGCCACAAATGTGCATGTGTCTGCTCAAACGGTCAGAAACAGACTCCATGAGGGTGGTATGAGGGCCCGACGTCCACAGGTGGTGGTTGTGCTTACAGCCCAACACCGTGCAGGACGTTTGGCATTTGCCAGAGAACACCAAGATTGGCAAATTCGCCACTGTCGCCCTGTGCTCTTCACAGATGAAAGCAGGTTCACACTGAGCACATGACAGACGTGACAGAGTCTGGAGACGCCGTGGAGAACGTTCTGCTGCCTGCAACATCCTCCAGCATGACCGGTTTGGAGGTGGGTCAGTCATGGTGTGGGGTGGCATTTCTTTGGGGGGGCCGCACAGCCCTCCATGTGCTCGCCAGAGGTAGCCTGACTGCCATTAGGTACCGAGATGAGATCCTCAGACCCCTTGTGAGACCATATGCTGGTGCGGTTGGCCCTGGGTTCCTCCTAATGCGAGACAATGCTAGACCTCATGTGGCTGGAGTGTGTCAGCAGTTCCTGCAAGAGGCATTGATGCTATGGACTGGCCCGCCCGTTCCCCAGACCTGAATCCAATTGAGCACATCTGGGACATCATGTCTCGCTCCATCCACCAACGCCACGTTGCACCACAGACTGTCCAGGAGTTGGCGGATGCTTTAGTCCAGGTCTGGGAGGAGATCCCTCAGGAGACAACCCGCCACCTCATCAGGAGCATGCCCAGGCGTTGTAGGGAGGTCATATTGACTTGTTTTAAGGACATTACATCAAAGTTGGATCAGCCTGTAGTGTGGTTTTCCACTTTAATTTTGAGGGTGACTCCAAATCCAGACCTCCATGGGTTGATAAATTTGATTTCCATTGATAATTTGTGTGATTTTGTTGTCAGCACATTCAACTATGTAAAGAAAAACGTATTTAATAAGATTATTTCATTCATTCAGATCTAGGATGTGTTATTTTAGTGTTCCCTTTATTTTTTTGAGCAGTGTATATCACGTTGCGTTGTGGTTTTTGGATAGTCTTTACCAGATCACGTTCCTAGGGCTATCAATACCGTAACTCATTTTTTAAGAAACTGAATGAAGATTAGGGGCTGTAGTCAATCCGCATCGCAGAAGTTCATCTTTACAGTGTGATTGAAATGTAAAGGAAATGCTCCTGCTTTAGAGGAGACTGTATTCATTGTATACGCTGCATGTCGGCTCAATCTGAAAAAAAAACCTTTACATTTGAATAGAGCTCTAGAACCTGTGACTGGTCCCCACCCCAGTGCCTAGTCCACTGCACCCATTGTTTGTTCACATCTGTTCAGTCAGTTATTTAGAATGTAGATTACAAATCATTACAAATCATTGGAAAACAAGCCACATTGGGATTCAAACTGGCGACCTTGTGTTGCATAATTCCTCACATCGAATAATGGGTTTTGATTTCAAATCACCCACTATCTCACAGCACAAGGAAAACAAACAATTCTGAAGACCAAGAACAATACATTTTATTAGTTTAAGGAACTACAGGTTATTCTTCCTGAGAATAATTTATAGCCAATAGTGCAGGGCTGCCCAACCCTCTTCCTGGAGGTTTTCAGTCCAACCCTAATGTAGCATATCTGATTCAGCTAGTTAAGGTCTTGTTGAGCAGCTAATAAGTAGAATCAGGTGTGTTAAATTAGGGTTGGACTGAAAACCCACAGGACGGTAGATCTCCAGGAAGAGTGTTGGGCAGCCCTGCCCTAGTGGTTTGATGGAGATTGTACACATGATAGGGCAGTGGTTCCCATCTTCGGTCCTCCAGTAGCCACAACAGCACACATTTCTGTTGTGGCCCCGGACAAAAACACCTGATTCAACTTATCAAGGGCTTGACAATTCAAGTAGAATCGGGTGCGCTTGTCCGGGGCCACAACAAAAATATGTACTGGAGGACTGGAGTTGGCAACCACTGTGATAGGGGAGAATGAAGTATACTACAGTCTATATATCAGGGGTGTCAAACTCATTCTTTGGGTTTTTCCTTTCAATTAAGACCTAGACAACCATTTGAGGGGAGTTCTTTACTAATTAGTGACCTTAATTCATCAATCAAGTATACTGAACAAAAATATAACATGAAAAAGTGTTGGTTTCATGAGCTGAAATAAAATATACCAGAAATGTGACATGCACAAAAAGCTTCTCTCAAATTGTGTACAAATGTATTTACATCCCTGTTAGTGAGCATTTCTCCTTTGCCAAGATAATCCATCCACCTGACAGGTGTGGCATATCAAGAAGTTGATTAAACAGCATGATCATTACACAGGTGCACCTTGTGCTGGGGACAACAAAAGGCCACTCAAATATGCTGTTTTGTCACACAACACAATGCCACATATGTCTCAAGTTTTGAGGGAGTGTGCAATTGGCATGCTGACTGCAGGAATGTCTACCAGAGCTGTTGCCAGAGAATTTAATGTTAATTAATTTCTCTACCATAAGCCGCCTTCAACTTAGGTTTTAGAGAATTTGTCAGTACGTCCAACTGGCCTCACAAACTCAGACCACGTGTAACCACGCCAGCCCAGGACCTCCAGATCCGGCTACTTCACCTGCGGGATTGTCTGAGACCAGCCACCCCGGACAGCTGATGAAACTGGGTTTGCACAACTGAAGAATTTCTGCACAAACTGTCAGAAACCGTCTCAGGGAAGCTCATCTGCGTGCTTGTCGTCCTCACCAGGGTCTTGACCTGACTGCAGTTCGATGTCGTAACTGACTTCAGTGAGCAAATGCTCACCTTCGATGGCCACTGGCACTTTGGAGGAGTGTGCTCTTCACGGATGAATCCCGGTTTCAACTGTACCGGCCAGATGGCAGACAGCGTTTATGGCATTGTGTGGGCGAGCGGTTTGCTGATGTCAACGTTGTGAACAGAGTGCCCCATGATGGTGGTGGGGTTATGGTATGGGCAGGCATACGCTACGGACAATGAACACAACTGCATTTTATCAATGGCAATTTGAATGCACAGAGATACAGTGATGAGATCCTGAGGCCCATTGTCGTGCCATTCATCCACCGCCATCACCAGCATGATAATGCACGGCCCGTGTCGCAAGGATCTGTACACCATTCCTGGAAGCTGAACATGTCCCAGTTTTCCATGGCCTGCATACTCACCAGACATGTCACCCTTCGCACAGCCATTGAAGAGAAGTGTGACAACATTCCACAGGCCACAATAAACAGCCTGATCAACTCTATGCGAAGGAGATGTGTCACGCTGCATGAGGCAAATGGTGGTCACACCAGATACTGACTGATTCTGATCCATGCCCCTACTTTTTTTTTTTTTAAAGGTATCTGTGGCCAACAGATGTATATCTGTATTCCCAGTCATGAAATCCATAGATTAGGACCTAATGAATGTATTTCAATTGACTCAGTAAAATCTTAGAAATTGTTTCATGTTGCGTTTATATTTTTGTTCAGTGTACAAGGGAGGAGTGAAAACCCGCAGACACTCGGCCCTTCGTGGAATGAGTTTGACACGTGGTCTAAAGCAGGGTTTCCCAAACTCGGTCCTGGGGCACTCCCTTGGTGCACATTTCGTTTTTTGCCCTAGCACTACACAGCTGATTCAAATAACCAACTCATCATCAAGCTTTGAATCAGCTGTGTAGTGCTAGGGCAAAAACCAAAACGTGCAACCAGGTGGGGCCCCAGGACCGAGTTTGGGAAACCCTGGTCTAAAGGAAGGGCAGAATCTGTGTAAACCATGGTCATATTCATCAGGCACCAAACAAGAAAATGTACTGGAACAGGGAGGGACTACCTGAAGTTGTCCAATAAGAGACGCTTGTTTTTGTTTTCCGTAGCTAATTGTTTTGCTACGGTGTGCACTAATGAATACGAACGACCCAAGTAATAAGGATCAAACCAAAATAAGGTTTGTGTAACACCAGACTTGGTTTAAATATACAAAAACAGTTTCAGTGATATGGTAATGACTAGCAATGGGACAGGGGTTTTAACCGTAGAACTGCCAAACTATTGGATGATTCAAATCATTTGGCACATGATAGTTCATCTCCACGGTGGAACTTAAAAATGCGCTTCCCCCCCCTTACAATTATGAAAAGAACCCCCTCATAACATTTAAATCCCAGAAATGCTGAATGCTTAAAAATATATTTATTTGTATATTAACTATTAGTTAACTTAGAAAGTGGCATGTGACATTTGTGTTTAATAAAAAGAAATATAATTCATTTTGTGATATTTTATTATTCACTGTGCCGAGTCTGTGTCAGAGAATGCCAAAGAATACAAATGATGAGCATCCAAAACATAAATATGCTTTGATACTGTTGCACACCAAAGGTAATAGTGTTTAACACAGACATCCCAACCATTATGATCTCTCAGAAATAAAATGTTAATCAAATATAGCTTGTAGTTCTTCAATGGTTCAAATCTTCCAGTTGGAATTGTATTCTATTTCCAGATCTGTGATTATTGTCATCCACCTGGAAGAAGAAGACGTCTGATGATGTCAGCTGAAATTAATCTCTGGATAAAAAAATAAAAATAAAAAATCGGCACAACCGAGACGCAGCCACATCGAATAAAACAGAAGAGTTTGTATGTAACTGATCTCCAAACATCCTGGAGAGCAGTGACAGACAGAACAGAAGCCTATAAAACAGCTTTCAGGAAGGGTGTGGAACGGTACGATCGAATCGAGTGACCAATTCTGTCTCTGTCCTGTAGTGTCAGGAGCTCTGATCGAGGTACGAGCTGAGCCGTCTTGACTTGTGACTTATTGTGCAGTCTATGACTGCTATGGGAGCTGAAACCAACCAGCCCCATTTCCACAGCACCAGCCCCATTTCCACAGCACCAGCCCCATTTCCACAGCACCAGCCCCCTTTCCCTCTGTTATATCCCTCCCCTCAGAGGTCTTCCATGCCCAGGGAGCTAGGAGTCGGAGGGGGCTAGTGTGACCCCTGGGACTGGGCATGGATCATCTTGAGCCGGGCCTGGTCGATAACGTCCAGCAGGTTCTTGGCGTCGACGGCCAGGGCGTGTGCGGCCGTCAGCATCTGTTTCTTATAGTCCTGCTGCAGGCTGGTGAGGACGTACTGCTGGGCCAGCTTCATCTTGTTGATCAGCTCGGCCAGGTCAGAGTTCAACAGCTTCTGGGCCATCTCAATCTGCAGAGGAAGACACAGTCAGAAAACGTAAGAGAAATAAGCCAGTTAGTTTGTTGTCAGACACAATAAGACAACAGTCAGAGTATCAACACAGTCAGAGGCAATATGTTGACTTGTAATGAAGAGGAGTGGTTTCTCACCTCTCTGTGTGTGCTTGCAGGTAAAACTGGCATGGTGTCGTCCACTGTGGCCAATAGGGTTCTCAACGCTAGTCCCACTTCCTGTAAAAATAACCAGTATATCACTGTAATAGAAGCAAACAAAGCTACAACTGCTTACAAACCAGTATCAATTGACAATATCCTCGATCAGCATATAATGACCATGATGATTCAACAATAAATGATGTATTTTATCAGGATTGATTGAAGCCAGCCTTACCTTGACCATAGGGACGTATTCCTCTGGAGGGGCTGGCTGGATCTTACTGGACATCTCTATAACAGCCTTTACCAGACCCGTCACATTCTCATACACCTTGTCGTTGGAGCGGTCCAAGTTGGCCGTGGGGGGGGGGCTGATCTCCTGAGGCTGGATCTACACACCACAGAGATGGGGGTGAGTTGGTCCACATACAACAACTGAGGGAAGTGAATCTATCTCCTAGAAATCATTTTAGTTATTATATTTCTACAGTGAATCTATTATGATAAAATGTATGATTTTGCTGATCTTATGGAACCCCAACCCACTGAGTGTTGGTGGTCTAGAGAAAAGAATCCAGGTGATTTTGTGTGACTTGATTTTTTATGACTGCACAACCAGAACTGTCCCAGCTGTCCTCCCAGCTGTCCTCCCAGCTGCCTGTCCTATCCACTGGAACCACCAGGTGGTATATAGCTAAAAGGGGTTTCTTTCTGTAACCACTAGAAGACAGTAATTTATAGATTCATCATGTCGTTTACAGAGTGAACATTAGATGACAGTATTTGCCAGAATTACTGTAGCTCGATTCACAATTCATGTATGTAGAGCATACAATCTCTGAACATGGTTGTGAACGACGTGTGATAAATTGGACCCCAAAACACCAAATCAAACATGTAGACAAACACACACACCACGGTCCAAACAGGAGGCAGAGCCCAGTGGTGAGTCAGATTGTAAGTGATATACTATGATCTACTAGACTACAGTTAGTGATGGTAACTATGACAACACAACCATTCATACATCACACCATACCACAGGGAAGAGAGTCATCAATGAAGGCCCACATTTATCTGTTATTACTCCCACGAATTGATTTGACATCAGTACTATGACTGCCAAAATAACCATTACAGTCATTACTGAAATGACTGCCACTGAATACTAGGATGACTTGCTTTGGTTATGGCTTTCTTGCCAAGCTTTCAAGGTTGTAGAACATGAGCCTGAATGAAGTGGCCTCATCCGGAGTAGTCGCCTCCAGACACTGATCTATGGTATGTTCTAGTGGTTACAGTTAGGATTCAGGGAGAGTAAACTGATCTTAGACCTGTGCCTAAGGCCAATGCCACTATCCACTGGGCTAAGAAGGTTTGATGGTTTGATGACTCCCCTGTACAGTGGTAGAGAACGTGTTATTAGAGCGCTCCCTAGTGGTCAAATAGTGACAGTGACTAACACAAACAGACTTCTTACCCTCCAGGGCTAAAGGGCCACAACAGTAGGGTGAGGCAGAGAGACAAAACAAGGGAGCGCGATCAGGACGGAGGGACAGGAGGATGCAGGAGAAACAGCACAGAAGAGGGAGAAAGGATTAATACTGCAGAACCGAAGGCAAAAGACAACATGCAATGCATCAACACAATAGAAGCAGACAGGGCACACCGTTTTAAAACACTGCAACGGAAAATGAAAACTGGCTTTTCTTATTGGACAACTTCAGACAGTACCTCCCTGTTTCACTCCGTTTACTGACGGGAAGATCTAAAGGCCTGCACTATCGTATTTGGAGGTATTGCATTGCATGGTATTGTATGGTATTGTATGGTATTGTATTATATGGTATTGTATAGTATTGTATGGAATGGTATTGCATTGTATTGTATGGTATTGTATGGTATTGTATTATATGGTATTGTATAGTATTGTATGGAATGGTATTGCATTGTATTGTATGGTATTGTATTGCATGGTATTGTATAGTATTTCATGGAATGGTATTGTATGGTATTGTATTGTAATGTTTTGTATGGTATGGTATTGTATGGTATTGTATAGTATTGTATGGTATTGTATTATATGGTATTGTATGGTATTGTATTGCATTGTATTGTATGGTATTGTATTGCATGGTATTGTATAGTATTTCATGGAATGGTATTGTATGGTATTGTATTGTAATGTTTTGTATGGTATGGTATTGTATGGTATGGTATTGTATGGTATGGTATTGTATTGCATTGTATTGTATTGCATGGTATTGTATTGTATGGTATTGTATTGCATGGTATTGTATTGTATTGTATTGCATGGTATTGTATGGTATGGTATTGTATGGTATTGTATTGCATGGTATTGTATTGCATGGTATTGTATTGTATGGTATGGTATTGTATGGTATTGTATGGTAATGTATGGTATGGTAATGTATGGTATAGTATGGTATTGTATTGTATTGTATTGTATGGTAATGTATGGTAATGTATTGTTCATAATGTTAGCTTTCGCTGGGGGAACTGAGAAGTGAGTCTAAAACCGTTGGAACATGGCTTTAACTGGTGAGATCAAAGGAAGGTGAGAAGGGAGCTTTGGACTGGATTTGACTGGTTCTATCTTGTTAGGAACCACTTCTATCCTCCACTGTCTTAAAAGCCTTAGATTTTAACTGGGTTTTATTTTCAGAGCTAGAAGAAGAGGCCTCTAATGGTCTCCCTTCAAACTGCCTGCCTGGAAAGTTACGAGACAGAAAAAAACACACTCTTCGAAAACAGTCTTCATTTCACTGGCTCCTCTCTAAATGGACGGTTGTTGGTGTTGCATAACTATGGCTCAAAATGAAGCCCAGAAAGTGAAAGGTTTTCCCTGGGGCTTTTTCTGGGCCAGCTTATCGGCGTCTGTATGGGGCCTGTGTGGCGGAAAGGTTGCAACCCTGGCTATGTAGGGGTGGATGGTGGGGTCAGGCTGGGATGACCCTGGCTGTGTAGGGGTGGATGGTGGGGTCAGGCTGGGATGACCCTGGCTGTGTAGGGGTGGATGGTGGGGTCAGGCTGGGATGACCCTGGCTATGTAGGGGTGGATGGTGGGGTCAGGCTGGGATGACCCTGGCTGTGTAGGGGTGGATGGTGGGGTCAGGGTGGGATGACCCTGGCTGTGTAGGGGTGGATGGTGGGGTCAGGCTGGAATGACCCTGGCTGTGTAGGGGTGGATGGTGGGGTCAGGCTGGGATGACCCTGGCTGTGTAGGGGTGGATGGTGGGGTCAGGCTGGGATGACCCTGGCTGTGTAGGGGTGGATGGTGGGGTCAGGGTGGGATGACCCTGGCTGTGTAGGGGTGGATGGTGGGGTCAGGCTGGGATGACCCTGGCTGTGTAGGGGTGGATGGTGGGGTCAGGCTGGAATGACCCTGGCTGTGTAGGGGTGGATGGTGGGGTCAGGCTGGGATGACCCTGGCTGTGTAGGGGTGGATGGTGGGGTCAGGCTGGGATGACCCTGGCTGTGTAGGGGTGGATGGTGGGTTCAGGCTGGGATGATTTCCATCTAGCTCCCAACCCCCCCTGTCCACTCTGCGGCCAAACAACTGCTTATCCCAGGGAGGAAGTGGAGCGTATCCGATAGCTTTTATTTGTTTAGTTCCACATAAACTGAGAATGATGGAGGCAGTTTTTTTCCTGACAGTCATTGTATATTATATATTTCTATGGACAAGCATGATGCTGGGTATTTACTGTATGTGTACATCATTGTGTTCTAAATACAGATAAGTGTGGGTTCGATTCCCATGGGGGGCCAGTATATATATGTGTGACTTCTATAAGTGTGTATATCTATCCACATGACTTCTGTAAGAGTATACAGTGCATTCGGAAAGTATTCAGACCCCTTGACTTTTCCCACATTTTGTTACATTACAGCCTTATTCTAAAATTGATTAAATTGTGTTTTTCCTCATCAATCTACACACAATACCCCATAATGACAAAGCAAAAACAGGTATTTAGAAATTTGCTAGAAGAAGTTTGGAACCACTAAGACTATTTCTGGAGCTGGCCGCCCGGCCAAACTGAGCAATCGGGGGAGAAGGGCCTTGGTCAGGGAGGTGACCAAGAACCCGATGGTCACTCTGACAAAGCTCTAGAGTTCCTCTGTTGAAATGGGAGAACCTCCCAGAAGGACAACCATCTCTACAGCATTCCACCAATCAAGCCTTTATGGTAGAGTGGCCAGACAGAAGCCACTGCTCAGTAAAAGGCCCATGACAGACCGCTTGGAGTTTGCCAAAAGGCACCTAAAGACTCAGACCATGAGAAACGAGATTATCTGGTCTGATGAAACCAAGATTGAACTCTTTGGCCTGAATGCCAAGCGTCACGTCTGGAGGAAACCTGGCACCATCCCTACAGTGAAGCATGGTGGTGGCAGCATCATGCTGTGGGGATGTTTTTCAGCGACAGAGACTGGGAGACTAGTCAGGATCGAGGCAAAGATGAACGGAGCAAAGTACAGAGAGATCCTTGATGATAACCTGCTCCAGAGCTCTCAGGACCGCAAACTGGGGCGAAGGTTCACCTTCCAACAGGACAACAACCCTAAGCACACAGCCAAGACAACGCAGGAGTGGCTTCAGGACAAGTTTCTAAATGTCCTTGAGTGGCCCAGCCAGAGCCCGGACTTAAACCTGATCGAACATCTCTGGAGAGACCTGAAAATAGCTGTTCAGCAACGCTTCCCATCCAACCTGATAGAGCTTGAGAGGATCTGCAGAGAACAATGGGAGAAACTCCCCAAATACAGGTGTGCCAAGCTTGTAGCGTCATACCCAAGAAGACTTGAGGCTGGAATCGCTGCCAAAGGTGCTTCAACAAAGTACTGAGTAAAGGGTCTGCATATTTATGTAAATTTAATATTTCAGTTTTTGCTTTGTCATTATGGGGTATTGTGTGTAGATTGATGAGGGAAAAAAACGATTTAATCAATTTTAGAATAAGGCTGTAACCTAACAAAATGTGGAAAAAGTAAACGGGTCTGAATACTTTCCGAAGGCACTGTATCTATCCACATGTCTTCAGTGTGTATATCTACATCTGTCCATGTGTCAGTACTATCTCTGTCAGAGATGGCTTTTTGGGTTGGGATAGCCTTGCTCTGTACTGTCTGAGGCTTGGCTGATCTAGGAGCTCCGTTCCGTTCTGCTGACTAGCAGCAACTTTAACCGCCTGGGCTCCTTGTGAAGCAGGGTAAATACTGACAGGTTTTCAGAGCTTTTCCTGTCCAGATCCCCATCTGCTCTGAATCTGGCTATAGGTTTGAGTTCTCACAGCTCCTGAATAAACTGGGAGGACGTATTTCATGTTAAGAACTTAAAAATGGACCAGGTGATAGTCAGGTGAAAAATAGAAAGCATGCTTGAAACTGCAGCAGTAACCCACAGCAGCCAAAAGCACATGCATTGTCTCAATATTCAAGTAATGGTCTCTTTCTCATACAACGTCATAGTGATACTGCAGTAACTCCCCTGAGGATAGGGTTCAGCTTTTCCTGACCACTGACCTGATCAGGAGAAACTCTGGGCCCTGCTATTCCTAGACCATGTGACCTGACCAGGAGAAACTCTGGGCCCAGCTATTCCTAGACCATGTGACCTGACCAGGAGAAACTCTGGGCCCAGCTATTCCTAGACCATGTGACCTGACCAGGAGAAACTCTGGGCCCAGCTATTCCTAGACCATGTGACCTGACCAGGAGAAACTCTGGGCCCAGCTATTCCTAGACCATGTGACCTGACCAGGAGAAACTCTGGGCCCAGCTATTCCTAGACCATGTGACCTGACCAGGAGAAACTCTGGGCCCTGCCACTTCTTGTGTAGCCCTAGGTATGAGTCATGTAGCCTGGTTCCAGATCTATTCGTGCCGTCTTGATAGCACAAACAAATGTAGGACCAGGCTCAACCAAGCTGTGATAGTGACCCAGGAGTAAGACATTAAGACAGTGTTGTCTTGGTTCTGTGATGGTGACCCAGGAGTAAATCATTAACACAGTGTTGTCTTGGTTCTGTGATAGTGACCCTGGAGTAAGACATTAAGACAGTGTTGTCTTGGTTCTGTGATGGTGACCCAGGAGTAAGACATTAAGACAGTGTTGTCTTTGGTGCTGTGATAGTGACCCAGGAGTAAGACATTAACACAGTGTTGTCTTGGTTCTGTGATGGTGACCCAGGAGTAAGACATTAACACAGTGTTGTCTTGGTTCTGTGATGGTGACCCAGGAGTAAGACATTAAGACAGTGTTGTCTTGGTTCTGTGATGGTGACCCTGGAGTAAGACATTAACACAGTGTTGTCTTGGTTCTGTGATGGTGACCCAGGAGTAAGACATTAAGACAGTGTTGTCTTGGTTCTGTGATGGTGACCCAGGAGTAAGACATTAAGACAGTGTTGTCTTGGTTCTGTGATGGTGACCCAGGAGTAAGACATTAACACAGTGTTGTCTTGGTTCTGTGATGGTGACCCAGGAGTAAGATATTAACACAGTGTTGTCTTTGGTGCTGTGAGTGTTTCTGTACCTTGACCCCCTCGTTGTAGCTGTCTACAGGGTTGAGGCTGGCCAGACTGCCCAGGTGGCTGGGGGCTCCAGGACGAGGAGGCTTCTTAGGAGGGGCCACATGCTCTGAGAGGAGAGACAGAGAGGGAGGGAGGAGAGTTAATATTTGTGTGTGTGTGTGTGTCTGAGAGAGAAAGATCCATGAATATCAGAACACACAGAGTAGATACTCATGTTGCCATTCCAGTATGTGGAGCGACAGATGTGCTGCGGCCTGTGTTACCTGGTTTCCCCAGTCCCACTGGTTGGTATATGTGTTGGTTTCCTGTCTGAGGGGACAACAGAAACACAAACAAGTGATTAGAAAGGCACACTGGCACTTTTCTGACTGGCTGACCAACTGGCTGGCTGGCTGACTGTGCTTTTCCAACAGCACTCTGGATTAGGGCTTCCCATGGGCCCAGTGTGTTTCAGTGTTATTGTGGGTACCCTGTGGCTAGCAGCACGACATATCTCAGACCCTCAGAGGCACCCAGCCAAGTACAAATCAGAGTTTCATTTCTCCAGCTCCTCTTCTCTCTTTATTTGAACACACTGGTGTTTTCCCTTGCATTCCGATGTTTTCTCTTCTCAGAGCAGAGACCCACTCAGCCCATTTGAGTTCTGTAATTACTGTGTAAATGGGTCTGGTTGGTTTGTGGGTGTTCTATAGCTGACGCCTGTTTTTAAAGATTATCCAGCAGCAGGGAGAGATGATGGCATGAGAAACGCCTGACTGTTGCCACAGTTCAGTTCCCACCCTCCCTAGTCCCTCCATGTCAGCCTAGAGGGGCTGGTTCAGTGTCCAGCTACAACAGGGCTGTTCAACCCAAACACTTCTGGTTTTCATCCTCTCCTTCTAATCAGGGACTAATTCAGACCTGGGACACCAGGTGAGTGCAATTAACTACCAGGTAGAAAGAAAAACCAGAAGTGGTTTGGGCCCTCCAGGGCCAGGATTGAACAGCCCTAAGGTAGTACATGCCCATATACTACTGAGGCCAGCGCTATAAAATTCGGACAAAATGTCTATTGTAATATGATTGAAATGGAAAACGTTATAAATACATTGGTTTATTGAAAAACAATATTTCCTGCTCCGTCCCTCTGGGGGTATGAACCTAAACAAACGGTGGGCCATGGGAAACTCACCGGCCCCTGGAGACTGCAGTCCTCCCGGTCAATGCTGCCCCGCGAGTTCCTGGATTCTGGCTTCTGACGAGAACACACAGCAGAGGGTCAGAGAACTAGCTAGCCACAGCTGACCACCTCATAACCCCAACCTCAAAGATTAAAACCTATATTTATCAGTAAAACCACCGTTACAGTAGTTTTGAAATATAATACTATAAAGTCTGTTTCTTACAACATAAGATGAAATGACTGCCGATTTCTCACTAGTGTTTTGTTCCATGAGAGCATAGAACTCACAATTCCGTTTGACACTGATCTGTTCTTTTGTCCTGCTGTGTTTACCCTCATTCTTCTTCTTTGAATGGTCCCTGCTACCAACAAACAATACCAAATCAACCAATCATCCATCCAGTACAATTTAAAATATATTTATGCCACCCTGACCAACCACACAGACAGTCCAGTGAGATAACTATTTGCATAGAAGGAATCCTCAGAGCTTCAGAAGCACCTTGTTGAGAGTTAAACATCTCTCCAGGTATCCAAGTACCAGCAGTACAAATCCACACAGAAAGCCACCAAGACAACCACCACCCCTTCCCAGCCATGATCTGTACCGGTTTTCCAAAGCAGGACTTGAAAAGGTGCATCTCTGAGCTCTGTGGAAAGCGTTGGTCCCATCAGCAGAGTGAGACAACAAACAGTCAGACGTTTTTGCTGCTGGAGGAGGAAGGCTTAAACATGATCCCACAGCAGACTCCTCTTGCTCTGTGGCTGGCAGACCTCTCTCTCTCTCTCTCTCTCTCTCTCCCTCTCTCCCTCTCTCCCTCCCCTCCCCTCCCTCTCTCTCTCTCTCCCTCCCTCCCTCCCTCCCAGTTGACGCTCTCAATCCTTATTTGTGTACAGGAATACATAATCATATGAAACTTATCATCACAACCAAATATTTCACACAAATCACATAAATAAAGATAGATACTATCATTTAGACATTCACTAAGGTATACAAAGGAAGACCACGTCAGTGCCGTCGATTCCGTTGCCAGATCTGCCAAAAGGATCTTTATGATTCTGAGAACAGCATGAACACTGGCTGAGCTTTCCACCCATCTTCACCGCAATATCTGGCGGCCAAATTAAACCGGCAGCATTAATGATTGCTCTCCTTCTGAACCCTGGCTGGCCGGGACTGTGGAGAAACAGACGCAGACCGAAATATGTTCCACAGGAAAGCCTTCTGGGTGGGACAGGGCTGGCTGCTCCAATACCAGAACAGTTAAAGATCCCTTTAAATCCAGCCTATAAAACTCTTTTAAGTCCTGTGCAATTGTCTTGTTGGACACGACAACAACACAAACATTTTCAAGGGCCACAAATTGTATCCTTTATCATTGTATTATTTCCACGAAGGTCATTTTCAATATATTGCTCAAACAATGTAGATGGCCTACTCTGGACATGGACCATATGATTGTATGAGTATTAAATATGAACTATAAAGCCGACAGCAGCTAGGTAGCACTGATGTAATCTTTAACCATTACATTTTAGTCATTTAGCAGACACTCTTATCCAGAGCGACTAACAGTTAGTGAATGCATACATGTTTTTTGTTTTGTTTTTTCATACTGGCCCCCCGTGGGAAACGAACCCACATCCCTGCCGGCCAAACCCTCCCCTACCTTGGACGACGCTGGACCAATTGTGCGCCGCCCATGGGTCTTCCGGTCGCGGCCGGCTGCGACAGAGACTGGACTCGAACCAGGATCTCTAGTGGCACAGCTAGCACTGCGATGCAGTGCCTTAGACCACTGCGCCACTAGGGAGTGGCACAGACTGATGATATTAACCATCACATAGAGAAGAGAGGAGGGTTCTAGAACGCTGGCTGATCCCTGCTTTTCCCTCAGGAGCTGAGTTTGTGGTCACAGGTCTGTGTCTGTCACATGCACGCACAGACACACCACCCACCTTCACAGCTTTGTTTTTCAAATGGAACCCCTTTCTCTCCACATCAAAGGGGAGAGCATCACACTTCCCCCCCTTATTTGACTGAATGAAAACAACAATGATCGGAATCTCCTCAGCTCAAGCATAGAAAAACAACCCCAGGAGGGGGTTGGGCTGAAGGTTGAGCTAGTACAGAAAACACTAGTGTGCGTGACACTGTAATCCAATCCAGATGTTTACTCCACTAAACAGTCACTGGCAGACTACTGATATGATGGTTCTGGGAGAGACTGACTGGATAACAGTTCATTTAATAAAAGAAAAGCAAACCCAAGTGCACTTACTATGACCGTGACATGTGGTTGTCTCACCCAGCTATCTTAAGATGAATGCACTAATTGTAAGTTAGCATATTATTATTATTATTATTATTATTATATTATTATTATTATTAAGTTGCTCTGGATAAGATTTAATTTATCTCAAAACCCACACGGCTAAATGTGAAAAACCCAGTGATCATTGTCCCATAATATGTATACTAATTTTAGTTTAATTAAGGGACATTGAACAAAGGTTTTAACATGACATGTTCTACTCCGATTTAGCCACTGTCTCCTGTAATCCTGACCCTGCGTTGGCTCTAGAAAATGTATCCTCAATATTTCTTCCTCTGGCAGATGAACACGCCCCTTTGAAACAATTCAGAGTGAAAGATCGCTCCGAAAGAAAACCTAAGGTTAGATCTATCTGTCATTCAGATGAGAAATCAGGCCTGGGCCAAAGCAATGAAAACTGACTCTGTAGTGGACTGGCAATCTTTCAGACATCTGAGAAACAGATGTACTATCTTGATTAAGAAAGCTATATCAAAATACTTTTTAAGCTCCATCTTTGATCCTACATTTTTGAAAACAGTAAATGCACTGAAGAGTACAAATTCCTCTTCTTCCCTGCCTAAGCAAGTTCTGTCTGACTCTGGCATCATTAACTGACAAGAATGGGATAAGTCATGCTTTTAATCATCATTTTATCTCGGCAAGCTTTTTATTTGAGAGAAACTGTGGTTTAATTGACCCTGTTCAGTCAATCGATCTACTCTTCCCTCTGCCCTGCCTCTAGCTGACTCGACAGTTAACCCGTCAACTTCTAGTGAATCTTTATTTTCATTTCAACAATTTACTATCTGTGATGTGCTAGTTGCCTTGCTTAAGACTGATGTAAAAAAAAAATCCATGTGCTGATATGCTTGATCCATTTCTGCTGCAGCTCTCTGCCCCCCTGATTCCTGAATCATTAACCCATATTTTTAACCTGAGGATTATATCTGGTACTATCCCCAAGGTTTGGAAGGCGGCCCATGTACTCCGCCTCTAGGGGCAATTCAGAAAGCTGATTGAGGATCTTATTACTGATGAATGTGATTGTTTTTTATGACGTGTTTTTCTTTCTGATGTGTGTATTTTCTGTAATTCAGGGCTCATCTGTAAAAGACACCTTGGTCTCAGTATAACTCCCTGATAAAATACAGGTTAAAAAACATTAAGTTGACATTAAATCTTATGTAGAGAGAGTGTGTCTGGATCAAGTGATTGACAACGGGGGTAAATTGAGGTAGAGAGCATATGTTGCTGTTTAACAGGAGTTAGTGAGGTACAAACAGAGGATGAAAGGTGCTGTTGCTAATATACATCCTAATGGGGATCCAAATAACCAAAAGGTGAGATTGCGAGTGTATTAGCTGGTGTCTTAGCATGATAGCGAGAGGGAGCCAGTGTGGTGTAAAAGATGGAAGTAGCCAGATGGTACTGGGTGAATAAGGTGGATGAGAGGATGTTACCAGGAAGGTCTCCTTCTGCTCCAGCCAGCGCTGGTCCTCAACCTATCTATCTCTCCTTCTCTCTCTCCCTTTCTCTCAGGATGGTGTGTGTGTGTAGGTGGTGAATAAGGGTCCATTAAGGCATCTGCATACATAGCTTTGGTTTGCTCCTAGCAGAACTCGGCTAGGCGAAGTGAACGTCTGTGCTCGCTCGCATACTTAAAATACAGTCGCTTGAAATATTACAATTTGTCCCACTTGAGACGCCGTAGCAACAAGTACGCTTCTTCAAAATAGTCAGAATTAATTTAACATAACTCAAGAAATCTGTAATTAATTTTGACATTTTTGCAGAGGAGGTCTTAGTTGCGCAATTTTACATCTAACTAAGATGTTTGGTGCAGTATTTTGCAGGTGAAAAAATGTGCATGAAAACTAGTCTTCTGTTGCTGAATGACAACAAACATTTCATTTGACGAATCCCTACTGTTGACCAATCACTGACAAAGGGGCATAGACTTCAGCTACCAAGCGCCAAAATGTTGGGCGCTCGAACAGCCCAAAAAAACCCCTGCTGAAGATCAAAACTGAAAAGAAAAACGTCACAAACTGTTTAGACTGGGAAGCATACGGTAAGCTTTACCAGGAAGCACTCCTCCTGCTCCAACCAGCGCTGGTCCTCCTCCATCTGCTGCTGCTGTATCATCAGCCTCTCCTCCATCAGGTGGGGGGGCAGCGCCTGGCCCAGACCACGCATGTCCAACGCACCTCCGTCCTGAGAGAGGGAGAGAGACGCAGAGAGGGATAGGGAGGTGGAGAGGGATAGGAGAGGATAGGTAGGTAGAGAGGGATAGGGAGGTAGAGAGGATAGGGAGGTAGAGAGGATAGGGGGTTAAGATTGTCTAGGGATGTAGAGCGGATATAGATGGTCATGCGATATGTGATGATAGGGTATGTAGGATCGGGATGGTAGAGCGTTTCTCTTGCGGTCAGCTCGCTAGTATGGTCTAGAGAGCGATAGGAGGTAAGAGCCTAGGGATGTAGGAGGCTAGGGAGGTGTAATGGGATGCGCGGTATGAGCGTCTGGCAGGTCAGCGCGGGCCTCTGTCGGTCGAGCGTTCTAGTCTTGTCGCGTCGTCGTGGTCGGTCGGTGCTCGGGCTGTCAGGAGGCATCGGCGGTCAGAGGATAGGGGGTAGAGGGATCGGGGGAGGGCTAGGGAGGGATCGGATGGGGCAGAGTAGGATCGGGAGTAGAGCGGATAGGGCGGTACGATGGCTCGGGGTCGCTGGGCTCGTGCGGTGAGGGTCGGTCGGGTCGCGGTCTCCGGCGGTAGCGCGGCTCGGGCGTCGCGCGGCTCGGCGGTCTCGGGGTCGGCGGGCGAGGTAGGAGGTTGAGGTAGGCGGTGGCGGCGGTAGGGGTGGGTGGTGGGTGGGCGGTCGGAGGTCGGCGGTCGGGTTGGCGGTAGGCGTGGGGTCGGGTGCGTCGTTGGGGGTGGCGGCCGCGTCGGGTCGGGGTCGCGCGGCGTGTGCCTGGCGTCGCGGTGGTCGCGGTGGGGGCTCGGCGGCGATACGGGGTGGCGGTGGAGGGCTGAGGGGTAGCGGTGAGAGGTATAGCGGGCTAGCTGTGGGGGTAGCGGGTCGAGCGGTCGCGCGTCTCGGCGGTCGGCGGCTCGGCGGTCGCGCGGCTCGGGCGGTCCGCGCTCGGTCGGTCGCGCGGCTCGGGCGGTCGCGCGCTCGGCCGGTACGCTCGGCTGGCGGTCGCGGCTCCCCGCGCGGCTCGCGCGGTCGCGCGGCTCGGGCGGTCGCGCGGCTCGGGCGGTCGCCGGCTGGCTCCCGGCTGTCCTGTCGACTTCTCGCGCTCTTTGCTTGCTGGGGTAGAGTGATGTGCATCCATCGTTGCTGAATTACCAGCTCAGACAATAGCTGATGAAATTCAGCAATTTCGCCTGTATACAATTGGCAGAACCACATAGTAAAGAGAGCATGCATGTATATTTGTGTGGAGCTCTCTCTCACCTCCATGTTGGGGGACCACATGGGGACGTCTCCTGGTCGGTGGTGGTTCCAGGCCTCCTGAAGGTCCAGAACACCGGCCTGGGGAGAGTACCCTCCACTGGGCATAGCGGGCATGCCGTGGGGGCCAGGGTACCCAACCTGGATATGGTAGGACAGACGACAGGTGAAAAGCCCATTTTGTTTGGAGAGAGGATTGTGATGACACAAAAGTATTGTCTGTGAGGCAAGGCTGTTCATCATATAGTATAGGCCCCAGTTAGCATTTCAGGGTACAGAGAAACACTTAGCTTTCAGTATAACGCAATAACTCATCATATATCCCCCA